GTGCGCTGCATGAAGGAAAACGCCCTTTGGTTTGTTTTAAACATAGGGCTCGCTCGATTCGTCAGTATGGCTTACCGTAGGGGTTCTGATTGGCTCTGCTGGTCGAGCCCAGCTTTGCTCCTCTTTCTCCACAGGTTGAAAACTTCCTTATTTTCCTTTTCAAGTTGTTTTTTAAGCTCTCAGCTGAGCTAATCCCTAAAGTGCCCGTTGCTTTTAATATGTGAGCGAAGGAAATTGACAAATCATCGCGCTGTGCTCGCTGGCTCCCCAGCCCACAGCTCCCCCGCAGCGTCCCCAGCAGATGGCTAGTGCCAGCGCGTTAGAACCACCTGGATTTTGGGTGCCGCCGCTCCTGGGTCCCCCACCTGAGACCTCTCCATGGGGCCTGACATTCTGACTGTGCAAAGCCCCCATCTTACAGCATTCCAGCCCCTCTTCAGGGATCCCCGGTTGTACCCACAAATGGAGATGGCGAAATTCACGGTCTAGGGAATACATCAGTTCATTGCTGTAGATTTATTGCCTCTGCGTTTCTTGGTCCCTGTGAGGTCAGCCTTGCTAGAACAACTGGCTTTAGGCAGGGAGAAATTATTCCCTTTGGTCAGTAAGGGTGTGTCTAGACTATATGGCTCCGTCGACGGAGCCACGTAGATGAGTTTACTAGACATAGAAAAACGAAGCGGCGATTTAAATAATCACCGCACCGTGCCGATCAGCTGTTTGGCGGCACAGCGGGGCAGTCTGGACGTGCCGTGGTCGACAAGGGAAGCCTTTGTCAACCGCTCCGGTAAACCTCATTTCACGACAAGGGCTTCCCTTGTCGACCGTGGCACGTCCAGACTGCCCCGCTGTGTCGCCAAACAGCTGATCGGCACAGCGCGGCGGCCATTTTGATGTAAATGAAGCGGCGATTATTTAAATCACCGCTGCATTTTCCTATGTCTAGTAAACTCATCATACCCTTAGTGGGGGCGTCAGTTGCTGTAGATAGGTAGGGCTGCCTATTAGTAAGAGTGATTAGAAGGTGATTAGAAGACTGTTTCCAGTTATTCTTAACCACAAACTCTAACCATTGGGGTTGAAATTTCCCATTCAAAGTATTGGCGTCCGCAGGACATTTTCTGGAACTTTTCAGCATGATCGATTTCACTTCAAGTTAGGGAGAAGTTACTTTGCTCAGACGGACATCTGTCAGGGACCATCCAGAACAGGGGTCTCAAACTTCACTGCACTACGACCCCCTTCTGATGACTCTGGCGGACCCCACCCGTAGTTAGAGAACTATAGGTCTCGATGGGGCTGGACCCTGCCTTGACCGACCTCTCGAGCGCCCTTGCAGTCCTACGGCGCTCCGATTCTTACAGTCGTTCCACGGAAACACTCTCATGCCTCCTGGCTTCGGAGCGGAGCCGTAATACTTGGTGGCGGGCTGTTTCCCTGGAGTCAGGGATGTGCCTTTTGCTGTCCCCGTGAAAAGCTGCCTACAATTGGCCCGGTTCTGACAGATCTGCCTGTGCGTGTGTGTTGGTGTGTAGGTGTGTACCTGTGTTTGTGGGCCACGGTGAAAGGGCTGGGATGGGTTTCACACTTCGCGCAGAGATCCGGCATCTAGGCGTAGGCGTAGAACAAAATAAATATTCAAAACACGCTCCAGCCCTTTTGCACTGTGCATCTTGGGTGGGCCATGGGGTGTAATTCTCTTCTCGCTTACACCCTGGGAACACCGTTGTCTTTGGGGGGATTGCCCCTGGACCCCACTAGGGCCGGTGAGAAGACAACCAGGCCCCCTAGCTCCTGGGCGCACTGTTGCTGTTGTCTGTGGACAGTAAAATCTGGACTGTTCAAACGTATCTCCGTGCTGTCTATGTTGGGGGGGCAGGGCGGGGCTGTGCGCCAGCACCCCTTGCTGGCTGTAGGGTGTAGTGGCTGGAGGCCTCCGAAGAGGAGGTGGCGTCCTTTTTGGAAGAGGACTGGCTTTCTGGCCACGGAGAGCCACCGTTCCGGCCCCTCATTGCATGCGTCGCCCTGCGTTTGCCTGCAATCTCTCTCTGCATGGGGGAGGCCACCGTGTGCGGTACTGCTGAGTCCTCCTGCGAGAGCGTGAGTTCCCACGGCGCCTCGCGGGTCTCGCGGGGCCATGCAGGTGGGCAGGCAGTCAGTTACAATCGCTGCCTGTGGTGCTCCTGATAGGACCTCTAGTTTCCAGCATCTAGGGTCTGGGAATGGGTGACCGGGGAGGGATCACATGAGGATTCCCTGTTCTGTTCCCTCCCTCTGGGGCACCTGGCGCCGGCTGCTGCCGGCCGACAGGACGCTGGGCTGGATGGGCCTTTGGTCTGACCTAGCCTGGCCGCTCGGATGAGCCCGTTGAAAGAATTAGTCAGCGCTTTACGTTAGAAGCGTCGTGGGCGCCTGGTGGATTCCGTCCCGTTGCCAGGGAAATAGCCACACTCGAGGCGTGTGCGTGGTCCCCCCGAGAATGAGAGTTTAGTCAGACTGAGGGCAGGAGAGGTAAACTGAGGCTAAGTCACTTGAGTGGCAGAGCGAGGAGCAGGATCCCAGCTGCCTAACTCCCATCCCAGGGCCCACCTTGCCACCTGGGTATCTGTCTTCAGACGCCGGGGGTCTCCCTAGGGTCTGTCTTGAGCAGGGTGTGACGTAGTGGGGGTACCTGGCTGGTGTCTATGCTGCTGGCTCTGGGGTAACCCCCACTGGCTGCTGGGGGTACCACGACCCAGCAAAACAGGATGAGTCACTATGCAAACCAGTGGCCAGACACCCCTCATGGAGAGGAACAAAGGAAGGTGGAATGCTGCCCTGGCTGGGGGGAGGGCTGGAAGGGAGTTCATTAGTTCCTGTCTGGAAAGCAGGGGAGAAGGAGCTGCGGAGGGGGCTGGGACTCCCCTATCTCAAGGGGGCACTGAGGCCTCTTAGCCCCAGTTCCTGTAACCAGATTACATCTGTGCTGTATCCTGGAGGAGCAATAAACTCCCTCAATTCCACCGGCTGGTGCAGTCTGTTTGTGCCATTTCGGGGTGCAGGAGACGGGGGACCCCCAACGCGCCGTCACACAGGGTCCTGGATACAGCCCCTCATTAGTGTCCCGGGTAATGAACTTCTACCCCTTGGGAGCTGCCTCTTTCGGATGGAGCTGAAGAAGAATTTCCCCATACATCTGGATCTCTCCCCCATCACCCGGGCAGCCTCGACTGCTGTCCGACCCCCCGCTTTTTTTTTTTTCCCCCCCCTGCCGTTTGGAGCTGTAAAACAGGCCTGTCGGCCTCTTGGCCCAGCAGGCGAAGGGCGGGGGAGCTCTCTGTCATCTCTGTCAGTCATTGCCAGCTCCCGCCATCGGTGGCTCCCATCTGTCCGGCTGAATCGGCGGTGAGTGATGGGGCGCGGCGCAGGCTCGGCTTGGGGCCGGCGGAGTTAAATCTTCCAGCGGCTGACACCTGACAAGCGTGATAAATTGCAGCGGGCCACGCGCCGCTGGGGTGACAGACGGGCCGCGTCCCTCCTTCGGCGCCGGGAAAACTTTTTAATTATTTCCCAGCGCTTTGCAAATGAGAGTTTCGCAATCAGCCGCGCCGGCGCCCAATGAGGTTTCACTTATTTATTGAGCGCTTACAGGCCTTTGGGGTTGGGTTCTTTAAGCATCGCCAAGGCCCGCTGGAGTCGACAGAAAGTCTTCTGCCGAGTTCCGGGGCTACCCCCTAAAGGAAGTTGGGCCGTAGACAGTTTCTGATGGTGCGGCTGCTCCTCAGAAGGTCCCTCTGCCGCATCAGCAGTGTGAGATAGACTATAAAGCGAGGAAAAGACGCCTTTTACAGTGGTTTTCACCCCGCGCTCTACAGACTAGGCCTAAGCTTTGCACCTCCACTTGCCTTTTTTTTAGGGGTCCACAAGTGAAAAAAAGGTTGAAAACCATTGGCCTGTTGCAAAGCATCACAATGTTTTGATGCACAGACTATCCCCTACTGCAAAGCATTCAAAAAATCACCAACAAAAGCCAACGAGTCAGAATATTCCCCCAGGCGGTCTTACGTGGCTGGTTTGTTAACTGCGATAGCGAGTCTGGGGTTATACCACACACTTACCTTTTGTTACCTGACTCCAAGTTGGGCTGGAATCCCGTTGCCCCAAGCCCTGCCCAACCCACAAGGAAAGAGCTGATCCCGACTCAGTTTACCATCGTAGGTGCCCCTCCCCCGCACATGGGCACGGGCTTGCTGGCTTCCCGTGCTCTCGGAGGTTTCCTGACAGCCGTCAGACGTACCCACGGTGTGTCGGATCGGAGCCTTGAGTGACCAGACCTAATGGGGCTGTGATTTGTCATGTCTTCGTGTTCGGTATTTGATGCCCGTGAGGGCGTGTTGTGGCTGGTTCTGTTTGGTTCCTATTACAGGTTGAACCTTACCCGTCCGGCACACTCTGATCTGGCAACATCTGTGGTCTGGCATGATTTGAGTGAGCCAGATGCCCACTTATCATGGGTGCAGCCAAGTTTCCCGCGGTCCCATGAAGTTTGTTTACAGCCCCAGTCTCAGTGCTCGGTGCTGTTATTTAGCTCTAATTTACCCCTCAATGTCCTCTCACAGCCCAGTAAGCAGTGGAAGTGTTAGTAATGCTGCTAGAAAACACTGACCTCCCACGGTCTGGCAAATTCCCTGGTTCGGAACCGGTCAGGTCCCAAGGGTGCCGGACTAGAGAGGTTCGGCCTGTATTTCTTTAAATAAGATCAAAGGCCACATGTGAGCAAATCAACGCCTTCCCCCACCTCCCCGTGCATAAGCACTGAGCTAACGAAAGGAACACGCGTTTTGGGGTGGACCAACAATTGTTTGCCTAGAGGAGATGAGTCCCTGAGCATCAGCTGCCAAGCCTCAGCCAAAGGGTGGTCCCCTCCCAGAGGGGCGAGCGTGGGGGATCCCGCCCCTGCAAAAGGGTGGCAGTAAAGTAGACGGGCCCATCTTTGACAGATTTCTCTCTCCTTTCGAAAGGCCAATCCCTGTTCTACGCGCCCACGGTGCAGGGCAGAACGTGGTGGAAAATCCCCGGGAGTTTGATGAGACATCGGGGACAGCCCTGGGAATTCAGACCGGTGGCAAGGTAAGAAGTTGTTTATTCGCCTCGAGCATCATGGCCAGACTCCGGCTCGCGCATAGCCTGGATCTCAGCGCATCGTTGAGAGTGTCCCCCCCCGTCTCTGGTCCTCTCCTCTGATGCTGACTGTGAAGGAGGCAGGCGCTGGCTCCGTGTTTCCATGGAGCTGTTAGACCCTGCTCCTGCTGTTTGTGTAGTTATTAGTCTCTTGAGAAGAGACCAGCAGCGACAGTGGGTCACATGGAAATGTGTCGGTTGTGGCACACCCGAGGATGGGGGTGCTGCAGAAGGTTCCCTGATGGCACAACGTGAGCTTGATTCTTGGAGATCCTTTGTTCTTAGGCCGAGTACAGTCGGGCCTGGTCAGTGTTTCTTTGGGAGACTCCCCAGGGGAAGCGGAGTTGGGTCGGTCCCCGGGGGAAGCGGAGTTGATGTGGTGATTAAGAACAGGCAGGTGTGTCTGTCAGTCGTAGATTGATTGGAAAACCCCAGCTCCTGATTGACTCTAACTTTCCTAGACAGGTTTTGCCTTCTGCCCTCTGCGTCCCTGGCACAGCCCTTGTCTCCCTAGACAGAATTTTCTCCTTCTAAGCTTCGCCGTCCAAGGCCGAACTGTTGTGTCACCCTGTACAGAGGTTGTGTGGTGACACAGGGATGTGTCATCCCAGACAAGACAGTGGTAAGATGAGGTCGTCCCAGAGGTATTCAGGGCCTGGTTTGACTCATGCGGGGGGAGTTTGTTTCACTGAGTTTGGCACCCTGCCCGAAGCGGTGAGGTCTTTATGAGCTCTGGGCTGCAGTGTCCAACAAATGTGTCTGCCCCTAGATTGCAAGGCAGGAGGAGGTTCAAACTGGATTTGCCATTGTGTGCACAACACAGTGGAGGCACTGCATTTACACCAGGTCTGCTATCATCAGAGGGGGTTCTCATTTACACTAGCATAGCTCCATGGGAGAGTCACTCCAGATTATACCAGGGTGGCTCACTTCCCGCTGGCAGGGTCAGTCTGGATTTACACCAGTGAGGCTACATTGCAGCTGGGGGAGTTACTCTGGATTTACACACCTGTGGCTCCTTTGCTGCCACCAGAGTCACTCCAGATTTACACCAGTGTCACCAAAAGCTGCGTTTGACCCTGGGACTGTATTTCTTCCCATTTGGCCATGTCCAGGCGCCACCTTTTCCTCCTCTTTCTGCTGCCTCGTTTTCCCGGCCAGCTGGCTGGGTTGCTGCTGGCTCCTTTTATTTGCGGTACCTCTCCAGTGGAGTATCCCGCTAATAATAGCAATTACCGGCACACATTGGCTACAAGGTACGGGGGTGTAATGGGCTCCAGGGGGACGAAATTAAAGTGATAGAATATGCTAAGATAAATTAGTGTTGTGAAATTAGCCACGGGTCTAGTCAGGGATCTGACAAATGTGTCACAGCTTAGTTACAAGCCCCGAGCTCTGCTCAATTGGATTAGTGGCCCGGAGCAAGGCAAACGGGAACGAGGGAGAAGAGTTTATTAAGGGGCCGCGTGCGCACATGCTAGTGGTTAAATGCTGCTTGGTTCTCTCCTTGGCTGTGCGGAATGAGACAGCAGCAGGAGAGCAACGATCCGCCTCTGCTCCGCTGCTTTCCGCATCTCCCCCACGAAGCAGCGGGGAAGGTCGGGTCTGCGCTGCTTGGTGGTTCTTCCGGCTCTCCAGCTGGGCCCGCCCCTGTGCCCGGAGCAGCCTGATCTGTTTTGATCCCGTCCCTTTTCCAGCGCAGTCGTGCGGTGCCAAAGCACCACGCCAGCCCTGGTTGTGTGGGGTGATCCCCCAAAGGCGGTGTCCTGTCCAGCGCCCAGCTCCGTGTGTGCTGGCTTGTTCGCCTCGGCTGGGGCCCGGAAGCTCCGGGTTGCAGAACCCTGGGGGCTTGCTCTGTTATTTCTCATGGGGATGCCAGCAGTGCAGGGTCAGGCAGGTGGGGGGGGGACAGAAAGCAAGAGATGGTCCTTCTCCAAAGAGCTTGCAATCTGAACAAACACAGGACGGCGGGAGGGGAGCCGGCGCATAAGCAAAGGGGCCACAGTGTGATGGGGGCAAACGGCATGTCAGTTCCCCATGTGTTCTGTGGCTTAAATTCTCTCCCTGGGTGATGCCAGCCGGGGATTGGCTAGATGGAAGGCGGGGCGTGGGTGAGGGTCGGGTCAAGCAGCCAATCCGCTCAGGGGGCAGAACGTTTAGATTGCAAATGTTGTGAAACGATCTTAGGACATCGGCCGCATCAGTCAGTCCCATCTTGACCTGCCCTGGCTTCCGTTTCTGGCTGGCTCCTCCGAGCTGGGAGTGGGGAGATGCCATGTGGTTCTTCCTGCCCCCAAGAGGGAGCCCTCCTCTCGCTGTTCTGGGGAGCTCTAGGGGGAGGGAGTTTCCAGAGCTTCCCTTCAGTCCACACAGCGCCAGAAGCATTTGAGGGCCGGGACATGGACACGTACTTGTTTCAAGGGCAGCTGGACTTTGATCAAGTGTAAAAATGGGCCGTTTCCATCTCTCTGAGGCTGTGGCACCATGACACTTGGTTGGCTTGTGACATGAGAATATAGGAACGGCCAGACTGGGTCAGACCAAAGGACCCAGACTGGGTCTAGCCCGGGATCCTGTCTGCTGACAGCGGCCAATGCCAGGTGCCCCAAAGGGAGGGAACACAACAAGGAATCAGCACGTGATCCCTCCCCTGTCACCCATTCCTAGCCTCTGACAAACTGAGGCAAGGGACATCATCCCTGCCCATCCTCCTACACCAATCTTCCATGAATGTGTCTAGTTCTTTTTTGAACCCTGTTAAAATCTTGGTCCTCCCAACATCCCCTGGCAAGGAGTTCCACAGGTTGACTGGGCACTACTTGAAGAAAAGCTTATTTGTGTTTGTTTCAAACCTGCTACCTATTCATTTCATTTGGTGACCCCTAGTTCTTATGTTAAAGTAAATCCCTTTTCCTTATTCCCTTTCTCCACACTTGTCATGATTTTACAGAATTCTAGCCTATCCCCCCTCTCTTTGTCGCCTCTTTTTTAAGCTGAAAAGTCCCCGTCTTATTTATCTCTCATCCTATGGGACCCGTTCCAAACCCTTAACCATTTTTGTTGCCTTTTTCTGAACTTTTTCCAAGGCCAAAAGATCTTTTATGAGATGAGGCGACCACATCTGTACGTGGTATTCAAGATGTGGGTGCACCGTGGTTTCATATAGAGGCAATAAGGTATTGTCTGTCTTCTCCTCTATCTCTTTTTTAATGATTCCTAACATCCTGTTTGCTTTTATGGCTGCCGCTGCGCACGGAGTGGATGTTTGCAGAGAACTAGCCACAGTGACTCCAAGATCTCTCTTAGGGAACGAGATGGACTCCGCTGGGGGGAGGAATAAACTCTCCACTGGTGAGGGGTGAATGGCTGGCTGGAGTCTTCAGCAGATTTGTAAATGCAGGCTAATTGCGTGTTTAATGGCAGGCACATTCCATCGGATCCTAAGGGTGGGGGCCGGAGGCCTGGCTTAATAAGGCATGTGATCTGGCCCATAATTATTAAAACATACATATATATATATATATTTGTAAATGCAGGCTAATTGCGTGTTTAATGGCAGGCACATTCCATCGGATCCTAAGGGTGGGGGCCGGAGGCCTGGCTTAATAAGGCATGTGATCTGGCCCATAAATATTAAAACATACATATATATATATATATATATATATATATATTACTCAGTGCTCCGGGCCGAGGGAGGCTGGCAGAGCGCCGCGGTTGCAAGCCGATAAGGCCCCGTGTAGCTGTCCAAGCCAAACAGCAATCGGCAAGGGAAAGGGGGAGCCGTCGATTCATCTGTCTGGGGATTGTCGGTTTCATTACCTGGAGTGAATGGTGCACGGGGTTGGTCCCAATTACAGATGCTTCCACCTCTCCTGCATCTGTGCCCATGCGGGGAGGAGCTGCTGTCTGACCGGTGACAACAGGTGCCCAGAAGGCGGCCTGCCAGGCTCTGTTGTGAAGTTGGCAGCCTGGCTGGAAGACCAGTTCCTGCGGTCGTCACTCCCTCCCCCCATCCTCCTGTGGCAGCTCAGTCT